ATTGAAACGACGAATTTTATTCGTCATCATCAACCAGAACTCATCTAGAGAGTTTCAAGAAAACCCATTAACAAAGAATACTTAAAACGAAGAAGACAGTGATACTCACTTCGATGTCCAGGCGTCGGAGGCGTCGACGACGGTCCGGAGGCGGACCCAGAAGCACCCTTCGACAGCGGAAGAATGTCCGCCCTCTGTTCGTGAGATCTCTTGGGAGCCATGGCCAGATGACGAAATCAGATCGTGGAAGAAATAACGAGAAGAAACTCGTTTGGGAGTTCAAGAAAGAAGCTTAAACGTTAAAGCCTCTTGACATGACTAATCAACCCAATTTATAAATAATTTATGACGGTGCAGAGTCCCAAGACTCCCGCTTAAAGGAGATCTCTTCGTCATCATTACAGCCGTTTGGGCTTCTGATAAGACGCAAGACAAAGCCTTGCGTTTGGAAAACGTATAGTGGAAGCCAAACGCAATAATCTGGAGGTGCGTTCAAGCGCACAATATCCACAATTCAATTCGAAGGCCCCAAACGCAGGGGGTGATCCTGTTCCTCTGAACCCCTACAGCTGCAATTGGAATTCTGTTACACGATAACAATTATCGCAACACTTCTAACTTATCGACTCTCGTCAATAGAGCGATAAGTCATCAAAGTTGCCCTGAACGCAACACTTCTAATAGAGCGACAGGTCTCCGAAGTTGCTCCAAACGCAACACTTCTAACTTATCGACTCTCGTCAATAGAGCGATAGGTCTCCGAAGTTGCTCCAAACGCAACACTTCTAACTTATCGACTCTCGTCAATAGAGCGATAAGTCCTCAAAGTTGCTCCAAACGCAACACTTCTAACTTATCGACTCTCGTCAATAGAGCGATAAGTCCTCAAAGTTGCTCCAAACGCAACACTTCTAACTTATCGACTCTCGTCAATAGAGCGATAAGTCCTCAAAGTTGCTCCAAACGCAACACTTCTAACTTATCGACTCTCGTCAATAGAGCGATAAGTCCTCAAAGTTGCTCCAAACGCAACACTTCTAACTTATCGACTCTCGTCAATAGAGCGATAAGTCCTCAAAGTTGCTCCAAACGCAACACTTCTAACTTATCGACTCTCGTCAATAGAGCGATAAGTCCTCAAAGTTGCTCCAAACGCAACACTTCTAACTTATCGACTCTCGTCAATAGAGCGATAAGTCCTCAAAGTTGCTCCAAACGCAACACTTCTAACTTATCGACTCTCGTCAATAGAGCGATAAGTCCTCAAAGTTGCTCCAAACGCAACACTTCTAACTTATCGACTCTCGTCAATAGAGCGATAAGTCCTCAAAGTTGCTCCAAACGCAACACTTCTAACTTATCGACTCTCGTCAATAGAGCGATAAGTCCTCAAAGTTGCTCCAAACGCAACACTTCTAACTTATCGACTCTCGTCAATAGAGCGATAAGTCCTCAAAGTTGCTCCAAACGCAACACTTCTAACTTATCGACTCTCGTCAATAGAGCGATAAGTCCTCAAAGTTGCTCCAAACGCAACACTTCTAACTTATCGACTCTCGTCAATAGAGCGATAAGTCCTCAAAGTTGCTCCAAACGCAACACTTCTAACTTATCGACTCTCGTCAATAGAGCGATAAGTCCTCAAAGTTGCTCCAAACGCAACACTTCTAACTTATCGACTCTCGTCAATAGAGCGATAAGTCCTCAAAGTTGCTCCAAACGCAACACTTCTAACTTATCGACTCTCGTCAATAGAGCGATAAGTCCTCAAAGTTGCTCCAAACGCAACACTTCTAACTTATCGACTCTCGTCAATAGAGCGATAAGTCCTCAAAGTTGCTCCAAACGCAACACTTCTAACTTATCGACTCTCGTCAATAGAGCGATAAGTCCTCAAAGTTGCTCCAAACGCAACACTTCTAACTTATCGACTCTCGTCAATAGAGCGATAAGTCCTCAAAGTTGCTCCAAACGCAACACTTCTAACTTATCGACTCTCGTCAATAGAGCGATAAGTCCTCAAAGTTGCTCCAAACGCAACACTTCTAACTTATCGACTCTCGTCAATAGAGCGATAAGTCCTCAAAGTTGCTCCAAACGCAACACTTCTAACTTATCGACTCTCGTCAATAGAGCGATAAGTCCTCAAAGTTGCTCCAAACGCAACACTTCTAACTTATCGACTCTCGTCAATAGAGCGATAAGTCCTCAAAGTTGCTCCAAACGCAACACTTCTAACTTATCGACTCTCGTCAATAGAGCGATAAGTCCTCAAAGTTGCTCCAAACGCAACACTTCTAACTTATCGACTCTCGTCAATAGAGCGATAAGTCCTCAAAGTTGCTCCAAACGCAACACTTCTAACTTATCGACTCTCGTCAATAGAGCGATAAGTCCTCAAAGTTGCTCCAAACGCAACACTTCTAACTTATCGACTCTCGTCAATAGAGCGATAAGTCCTCAAAGTTGCTCCAAACGCAACACTTCTAACTTATCGACTCTCGTCAATAGAGCGATAAGTCCTCAAAGTTGCTCCAAACGCAACACTTCTAACTTATCGACTCTCGTCAATAGAGCGATAAGTCCTCAAAGTTGCTCCAAACGCAACACTTCTAACTTATCGACTCTCGTCAATAGAGCGATAAGTCCTCAAAGTTGCTCCAAACGCAACACTTCTAACTTATCGACTCTCGTCAATAGAGCGATAAGTCCTCAAAGTTGCTCCAAACGCAACACTTCTAACTTATCGACTCTCGTCAATAGAGCGATAAGTCCTCAAAGTTGCTCCAAACGCAACACTTCTAACTTATCGACTCTCGTCAATAGAGCGATAAGTCCTCAAAGTTGCTCCAAACGCAACACTTCTAACTTATCGACTCTCGTCAATAGAGCGATAAGTCCTCAAAGTTGCTCCAAACGCAACACTTCTAACTTATCGACTCTCGTCAATAGAGCGATAAGTCCTCAAAGTTGCTCCAAACGCAACACTTCTAACTTATCGACTCTCGTCAATAGAGCGATAAGTCCTCAAAGTTGCTCCAAACGCAACACTTCTAACTTATCGACTCTCGTCAA